CCCCCCGGAAAAGAAAAGACGTCGTGAATCAACCAAACTGACAACAAACAGAGGGTACGCCGCCCCCGTCCTCCCCCCGTCCTCCCCTGTGCCTAACAAAAAATACCTTGACAGTTAATCAACCTCCGCTGCGGGCCAGGCGCAGCCATCCTGCCGCCCGAAGTAACGAGGATACACATGGACTTTGCGACGAGCATGTCCAACGGCCACATGGGAGCCAGGTTCGTCCCCCCGCCGACAGCGACACACAAGTACTGCCAGGGCTAATATCAGAGTTGGGGGGGAAACAGAAAGTTCTGGCGCCAGTACCTCCCGCGCCTCAAGTACCACAACCCGGCGGTGCCCATGATCCTCAACCGGCACGACGACAACGCCGCGCCGCCCATAATGACAATCTACATGCGCGCCTCGGGCGGCACCTCCTCCTCCTCCTCCTCCTCCTCGGCGGCGGCGGCGGCGGAGACCTCGCAGCCGGCCTCGTCGCGTAACAACCTCTCCAAAGCGCAGCCGCCGGGCGCCGACGAAAAGGTCGTCACAATCGACATGAGGAACAGGCACAGCTCCGACATACTAGAGTTCTTCCTCGCCGAGACGCGCGCGAGGGCGTTGCAGCCCACGAGCGCCGAGATTGCAGAGATTCAGAGTCTAGAAGCTATGAAGAAGCAGGGCAATGTCGATAGAGAGAGGGTGAGGGCGCTGAGGGCGGAGAAGAAGAAGGAGGAGGACATGCTAAAGAGGGCGAGGGCAGCAGGGGGTATGGCTGAGCAGGAGGAGGCTTAGATGGATGCTCGAAAGCCAAAACGAAGAAACAAAAGCTGTGTATAATTTAGCCGCATCAGAGGCTCTGTATTATTCAAGCTGTGGAAAAAATACATGTATATTTTATTCATCTTCAACTATTGCACCAACTTGGGTATCAATGTTTCCAGTCATTGCCCTGCTGGACTGCGAGTTGGTGCTTTTTTTTATCTCTATCCATATATGTCCTTGACGCCCCGTGTTATGCCGAGATAATATGCTTGCTCTATGCTTCAAGAGCGGTTTGAAATCCTCCATACACCGAGCCTACTACGTCGGCGTGTGTTGTATATGTAGCCCTACTTCAGACCAAATCCTTCACTTTCAAACACAGCTCTCCACAGCATGCCTTCCAGTTTTTGCTTCGACCCATACCGCCACAGTGAAAGCATGTTGAAGCAAGTCCTCGCTATCGGATAACGGCCGACATCTTCGCCAAGACACGAAATCTTGATTGGCAGCATAGCGGCCCCCGTTGCAGGGATTCGATCGCTTCCCGTGATGAATGAAAGAAGCTTGCGCTGGTTCCCTGGTGTTGCTTCTTGGAACGTTTCCCAAAACCATCCGACTACGGGGCTACTACCGTCCGGCTGGCGGCTCTCCCAGTTGTCATACTCAGCCACAGCACGCAATGATGCAATATCAAGAGCCTCGTCCGATCCTCGGATGAGAAGCTCGATTTCTTCAGGTCGGAATAAGGAAAAGGCATTGCCTCCGCAGACGGTGTAGAAGCCTCTTTTGAAAGGCTCGAACTGGCGCGTCACCGCCGTATCCAGTACATATCGAATGTAGAGGTCAACGTACTCTCGTCGGTTGCTATTTGTAACAGCCTTCCGCTCGCCTCCATGGCAAAGGGGCACCTGAACAGTTGTGCCGTATTTCTCAGTGTCAATTACAAAGTCAAGGCTGAATGCGCTTTCCACATCTCCCTCAAAGTCCAGAAGCTGACGAAGCCCACGGGCTACCCGTGGTCTGTATTCCGCCAGGTCCTCCAAAGTATATTGCATCGACGGCCTTGGACGAGAGGACATGCCTAGGCCGTGAGCTGGCGCAGCCGCCAGCAGTTTGCGGAAAGCAAATGGCGGTAGAGCGACGTCCAAGATGGTAGAATTGTAAATTGCCAAGCCCATGACTACACCAACCAAAAAGAATTGATCCGACGTTTCAAATGTGGCGGGATTGAAGTAGCAATACTGCGAGTCTTCGTCGTAAAGAAACATCCCTACAAATCATTGGATTAGCTAGGCGGCAGGATATAATCGTTGTCGGCGTAACTTTACCGTGGTCGGGATTGAAGACCTCCCGGATGAGGAGCAAGAACCATTCCTTCCGCAGACCGCCGGCGTCAATACCCTCTTCACCTCTGAACGTGATTCGGAGACCTTTCTTGACATCTTCACTTCCGCTTCCAATGACTTCACTAACAGCAGCAAGACTGTCCTCAACAAGACACTCTCTACGAACGTCGAGCGAAAGATATTGCTTTACGTTGCGGTTGGTCATTATGCTGTCAAGAAAGGCATCCCGTGCCTTCATCTGCATCTGTCGCTTGGCATCATGTTCCAGGATGTGAGTTTTGGCCCAAATGCTCATTAAAAACGGATACTGACAGAAGGAAAACTTGGACCGTTTCGACTCCCAGGACTCAAAGTCGCTGACCAAATCAGCATAATCTATCATTGAGTTATAAAAGTCCGTGGTTGGGACCAGCTGTCCACTAGAGTGTCCGTATTCGCGGGTTGATCCAGCCGCAACATTGACCCCCGCCGCCGTCGTTGAATAGCCATGTCTGATCCCAGGGGCACTATTGGCTGCGAACAGAAGGGCAAGCACGCGGGACGCCGCTTTGATCTGCCAGTCCTCAGTATACGCAATCTTGTGCTCCGGCTCCTTCTTTTTGGAAGCTCCCCCGGTTCTGATTTCATCATGAAGGTAGAAACCAGCACCAGACCGGCCAGCGCGCATCTCTGGTATCAAACCAGCCGTGATATCAACTTCTGTAGGTTGCTTCTTATCAATTTGTCGGAGTAGTCGGTAGCTCAAAAAACCTGATATCAAATCCTTGGTGCGAACAAATCGTCTCCTGTCATATTTGGAAAACCATGTGATGAGCTGATTGTGGCATTCCGGAGGTGTATTCGATATGAGACCGATGATCCGCTTGATTATGCCTGAGTGTTGGCCGGATAAGAGCCCAGAACTCGGAAGAAGTTTTCGTCTTGGCGAGACTACTTGAGGGGGGGGATGAGCCACAGCATCTGGTTGTAAAATGCCACCAAATCCCCTAAACTCTGCGTGCAAAAGAGGGTTCTCCATGATGATGAGAAGGAATCGAACATCACTAGCGTTGGCCATCGGCCGGCCAGGTCTCTTCAATAGCGATTCTGTCGCCTTCAGCAACACCCTTTGGGCATGTTCTTGCCCTTGTAGCAGTTCTTGCTCCAGAATCTCGAGGTCTCTCTGCGTTTGAGGTCTAACAGTTGATTCCCTGCAAACATCTTCGTACACAGAGAACCATTCTTCCGCAGCATTAATGATTAAGCAGTACCAACTGTCAAGCTCACCCCAGTTCAGGTTCGGGGTCTTCATTGTGACTGGTTTCCTGGGGGGGCTTTCAAGTCGACGGGTAGAAGTTTGTTTCGTTGGCCCTGGCTGTCTACGGCCCCCCGTCCACCATGAGCCATTCTCTGCAAAATCGCCCAGAAGGAGCAACTTCGGGTCCAGCTCATCCATGACAATGCCTGGTTGGGACTCCCCCCGAGGAGAAGTGTCGGCAGATTGTGAGAGTGATCTTCCGCGCGACGGCAGTGGTTTACGCCGAATTTGGTCGGCTTGTTGGCACTCCCGCCCTCTGTTCTCTGTTGAAAATGACGAGTTTATACAGTCAAATGAGCCAAACGCCTTCGCAATGTATTCCTCAAGGGGTTTAAATATCCTCTTTGGTTCGCAGGGACCATTCATCGACGATGCCCTGTGGCGTGCCATGAGATTCAGATTCAGGGGTGGCTGCCCCGGCGGGGGTGGCCTTTCAGACTGTGAAGACGGATATGACCTGGGGGCGGCATTTGGCCGTAGTGTACTGGGCCGTAAGGTAGGCTGCTCTTCAAAGACATATTTGGGATTATAGCCGTCTTGCTCTTCTCCATACGAGGCGCCCCTTGGTCGTCCATGGGAGTGGGCATGTTGATTTCCGTAAGCATCTAATGCTGGGGTGTTGCTTTGAGATGTAGCATGAGAGTGCCAGCCTGCAGGCTCCGGCGCTGGCCTCGGAATCAATTTCATAGAAATGTACGAATGAATACACTGTCTCACAAGTCGTTGACAGTGTCGTAAGGAAATTGGTTGGCCTATTCAAAGAAATTGGGGGTGAGGAATAAGTTTGCCAGGCTTTCTTATCGCAGTATAACAGAGAGGGCCACATACAAGTTGAGCTATCAGACGACGCATGGGCACTCCCATCACGCCGCCTTCCGAGAATCCCGGGCTTGAGGGCCTCACTCTCCGGAGCGGCCAAATCATTAATCGTCGTGCAGATAGTACACTTGAACACTTTCAATTCCTTGGGCCATCGCATTAAAGATGCGCACGTCATACAATTTCCCGTGGCAAAGTCCTTGCTACCCGTAGGACCGCCTCGCCTGTGTCTATTTCCAACGCTTGGTCCAGCCATGGCGTTGCCAACATCTCCCCTGTCCGAATCAGCTTGCGGCTGGCTCGTCGAGCCTTGCCTCTTCGTTGCAGCACCGAGAAACGAAGGAAACGGATTGCTCAAGGAGCGTGCATGGCGGGCAGGCAACCTGCTTGGTTTGGTTCGCTGAAAATCAGATTCCGAAGAGCTCGAGTCTTCATGTGCTTGGCTGTTGGAGATGTCGATAGATCCGAGAAGTATGGTGGGTGTCTCAAGAGCATCGGCGTGAATTCGAGTAACGAGGTCGTGACGAGGCGGTCGAGAACGGCTGCGAGATGGGGAAGCCATGATTATCCCAGTTTATTTCCCCCTTCCCAGCAGACATGGACTGGCGAGCTTTTAGGTAGCTCCCTTGTTCAATAAGGAAAGCGGCTTCTGCATCTGACTGGTGCTCTGCGAGGCAAGTACGACAATTATCGCGGCGAGACAACGAGGCCTGGTTGTGGCATCTTGGGCTCGGCGCTGTGAGACACTCAGTCGGGACAGGACGTTGGTTGATTCGGTTGATTTGCTTGTTGCAGTCGTCTTGAATCAAATGCGCATGGACAGCATGCCAAGCGGGCATCAACGACGGCGGCTCGTCTTTGGCAGCATTTGGACAGTCGAGAGCATGGGGTGCGTATTTGTATCAGGTACTTGGAGGATGGCATCGATGCGTCCGGCGAGCTTGGGCATGAGACACCGAGCCAGCCGCCACCAATTATCGCTCCAGGGGCACTGGGGCCAACGTGCTGCATTGATGATCCACTGGCCCAGTGGCGCTGGGGCGACTGGCTGGAAATGGTCCCCTGGGTGCTTGCAACGAGGACCCGAGACATGAGTCTGGTGTCTGGTCCGGCTAGCGCAGGCACTGGATGCCATTTTCGTCCCGGTATCGAACTGCCAATCCTATCCACGGGCACGCGACACTTTTCATTCTCTCCTCGACTTGGATGCATCGACTCGGACTCGGTAGTTCTGTGCTCCGTGGGTGTGTGGCAGCTCGTCTTTCCATCTCGGTCTACCATTTCAAACACCACATATCCGTCACCGCCACGATGGCGGGACTTGGGGGACGCGTCAAGCTCGATGAACGGTGGACAGCCTTGGCTGCATATGAAGCACGCTCTCTTATTAAGCGTGCGTTGCCTATCACGGTGCATTAGCTAAATAATAAAATATAAACCAATATTTCATTATATTATTTCTAATATATAAGAGATTTAAAGTCCTGTTTAATTTTTATTTAAAGTAATATCATGGTACTAGTTCGACATATCCCGAATACTTCATCGTGGCCACGTCCCTATACCTCGCCACTCTACACCGAGCGTCACCCATGTCCAGGACCTTATATTTCACCATTCTCAGCAGGGGGAGGATCTACACCATCGGTTAGCACAATGCTCACCGCTACATGCCCGCCAGGTTACCAACCGCTTCGACTTTATCTGCTCGTCTGCTTCGTGAATCGCGTCATCTCTTTGACGTTTGGCCCAATCTCTACCATTCCGATGTGCAGCAATGCCTTGTCGACAAGAATGAGCGTCGTTACTGGTCAAGGCCCAACATTGAACTTGTGTCATAACATAGCTGGGTTTCCCTCCAGGACTAGATGGAGGAATCAAGTGAGTGGTGAATATTTTGAGGTGACTAGTCTGGTAAGTGGACGAGAGCGTGTAGGCCTTGTTGTCATATCGCGGCTCTGATTGCCCACATGATTGTACATGATGAATCCCTCTTGCCCCTATTGCACCATTATAGCAAGCTTGTCGGGTGGCAATCCAGTTTATTGAAAGAAGTATGCCACTTGGATTGTACTGTCCTTCAATAACTGGAATCACTTTAGCCATGACTTCTGCTTTATTAGAAGCGTTTGCATCTTTGTGTTTAAATGACTTAAAAGCGCTATTAAAACTCAAAGAGTGACAATTAAACCTTTGAGTATATTATAATAAAAAGTATAATATATTTAAACCTTAGACCTTAACACCCACGGAGCTGCCCCCCAACGCGATACTTGCAATACATGGCCACAGCCTTGACGGCGGTTCAATTACTCGCCAAGACCAAAAAGAAGAACACGGGTTCAACACACCCATCTCGTCCTGCATTTGAGCACTCCGTCACGTCAAACCCCGCTCGAAAAAAAAAAAATCTCCAAAAAAAAATGCCCAACCTAGTCTTCTGCCGTCACGCAACCTTACCTGAAACATGCCGGCTCGCCAACTCCCCCAAACAGACGTCGTCCATGCCACAATATCACTCCATGTCGGCATTCCTCGCATAATCCCTCGTCTTACCGAGCACCCGATGTGGCCTTGTACAAACCACATCTTGCCGACAGCGCAGCCAGGATGCAATTATTCCACCGGTATTACAGAGCAGGCAGTATGTACATAGTCTGTGCTCCCTGAAGTGGTTCTAACTTCTTTCATCACTTCTTGCAAAGCCGTGAGCATGTGATTGTGACTGTATTTATATCAGAACGTCTACTGTATATGTCTAGCCTTTGTTTCTTCTTCTCTACAGCTCTAGGAAACAAATTTTACTCGAATACAATGGCGGCCTTGATGGCTGTCTTGTCCTTGATGCTTTCAAGAGCCTTGTCAAACTCCTCCAGTTTAAAGGTCTTATTGACGATGCCCTTGGTCTTGACCTTTCCAGAGTCGAGGTAGTCAATCGTAGCGGCTGCAACACAATACATTAGTTGGTCACTACGTAGACTGCCGTGCGAGGGCGGCAGGGGCTGGACTCACGGAACATGTACGTCTCGGAAAAGGACCCAATAATGGTGATTTCGTCACCAAAAATCTTGGCAGGGGGCCAACTGACCCGGTCGGCGTTGGCGTAGACACTATTGTAATCATGCATCAGGCATTTTTGCAACGTGGGCGTGTGTGAATCGAGACCGTCAAAACCTACCCGTAGACGACGAGGGTGCCACCACGACGGACGTAGTTGATGGCGTCTTCCAGAATCTTGACGGAACCAGTGGCCTCGACAACTGCAACCCTGTCAGCGTCATACAAGTATAGAAGACAGGCCAAGATGCGTACCAATGTCAAAGCCATAGGGGTTGTCCTTCTTGAGCTGGTCAAACTGGGCCTGGGGGCTCTCTCTCGACAACTCAATATACGTATCGGCAGCGTCAAGGCTCTTGGCCAGGTCCATCTTCAAGCCCTTGGGCGCAGCAATGGTCACCTGGCAGCCTCCATTCTGCCTCAAAAGCTGGGCGAGCATCTGCAGCACATTCAAGTTAGCAAGCCCTGTCCGTTCCTTACAAGCCGTGCCCCTTCCCGCGGAAAGCGCTCACAAGACCAGTAGGCCCAGCACCAAACATGAGAACGTGAGAGCCCAGCTTGGGACGGATCTTCTCCAAGCCATGGCAGGCACAGGAGGCGGGCTCGAGCAGGGTGGCGTCGACCCAGTTGAGGTTCTGAATCCTGAACACCTTGGCGGCGGGATATGCGCAGTATTCGGCAAAGCCGCCATTCATGGTGACACCATGGGCGTTGAACTATGCGCATCAGCACCACAGAGTCACAGACAGACAAGAAGTGGAGGTCCACGGCTGCCCGTACATTCTCGCAGAGCAGCAGCTGGCCGCGGCGGCAGTAGAAGCACTCGTTGCAGAGTTCGCTGTTGTCGGCAGCGACTCGGTCGCCGATCTGGAATCCCTTGACGTTCTGGGCATGTCGTTAACACGGATCGGACTGGTGCGTGTTCCGTACAAGTGCATACCTTGCCAACCGCAGCGATGACACCAACGGTTTCGTGACCGGGAATAAGCGGGAACTTGGCGATAAACTCGCCCTCGTGGATGTGCTATAAACACCAATTAACATGACTGGCCCTCCCTACAGCGGCAAAGAACAAGGGCGTGTAACCAAATCTGCACAGTTTGTTAGCTTGTTGGGCAAAGAATGAGGTACAGGGTAGGCTGAGGGACTCGCCAGTTCCGCAGACACCACAGGCCTTGACCTGCACGAGCACATCACTGTCGCGCAGCTCTGGGAGCGGGACCGTGACTATGGACCAATCCTCAGGCTTCTCATATCTGAGCAGGGCAATTGTCAGCAATGGAAAGGTGGGAAAACAAGAGCATACGGCAACGAGCGAGGTATTAGACCAGGTCAGTCGGGCATTCTGGCTCAAAGGCACCCTGATGGCTAGATGAGACCCACGACTGGAAATATATAAAGAACGAACCTGAGAGCCTTCATCTGCTTGGGAAGGTTTGCCATCTTGAATTATTTCTTTTTGCTTGTATATTTCGATTTTGTGTGGCCGGCGTGTACGACGTTTTCGCCCCGCGAGCTCGGAGTCTAAGTACCTGAAAGCTGCCATGATGGGAAACCCGTTAGCCAAGGTAATCGAAAAAAAAAGAAACACGCAGCTTCCATCACAGCCATATGATAGCTAACATACGTGGAGAGATATAGAACAGGTCGTCTAATAGCACCAATTTCAAACAAAAACAGTACCTAGGAGTTTGAGAACCCAAAAAAAAGGAGATGAGGCGACCCTCGGAGCATTTTATTCCACCGCGGCAACAAGCAAGAACACACCGGCGTGGGCGTCAGAAGCTACCAGACCCTTGGCGACCTTTTCCCCTCCCGCCCTGCTCTTCGGAGCAACGTAAACGCCTATCGAAATCCAGATGTCACTTATCGGTCTCGGCTGGGACCTCTTGGTCTTATCCCCTTGCCGGGGCGGCTGTGACCCCGCCGGATTGCTGGCGACTTTCTCCCGTCTGCCGGGACTCGACGTCTGATACTGCGCATGTGCAGATTCGGGACGAAGCAATGAGTTCCGTCCTCTTTTTACCCCGTCCGTCTGTTAACAATGCTGAATTCCATGCAGAATGGGCCCCTTGATTACATTGTTCATTACGCTTATTGCCAGCCCGGTTTCCGCGTGGAGCAGCTCCGTACTCGGGGATTGAAGCATCTTCAGGAAGCTGAGGTGGTTGCTTCGCCGGATTTCGGGCTACCATGCATCCATCCCAAGGCGGAAAACACGCAACGGCCAGCCGGTCGGCGCCATCTAGAGGCACACACGTCTTACATTGACCCATGGTGATGCAGCAGGTCCAACGGCGGGGGCCGGACACTCATCCAATATCTTGCTGCCCGCCTTGTTCAATCTTCTCCCATTCCCATAGCTGAGCACCCACCGCCATGTTTTTGTTTTGCTCGCGGGTGAGTCGTCCCGCATCCGCAGTCGCGGAGACTCTTTAGAGTTGCTGGGCACAGGCATCGTACAGTACAGCCCGCCATTGTGATAAGGTTGGTGACCTATCATTGCTTGCTGTGGCTTGCAGTTGTGCAGGAGACACCGCCATTTGACGCGTCATGTGACGCCGAGATGCTTGTCTTGTGTTGCGTGAAGGAAGCTGGAGGATACAAGGATGGTTCCTTTTTTACCGGTGGACGTCTGCGAAGCATTGTCAAGACCATTGGCCGTCGTCGATGGACAGCACTGACATTTGTGAGGAACCCATGCCCCCGCTGCTCGGGCTACGGATGGTGCAGAATTGTGGAATTTGCGAGCTGTAGCTTTCCCTGTGAAGATCTATCCCGGCCTTGTGCTATGCCAACTGGTCGTTTCTTGTCCAATGTGTTGACAAACGTGAAACGGGCCGAGAGAGGCTAGAGACATCCGATGTATACAGAGTAGTTTGAGCAGGTCATTATGTGGACGAGGCCTCGCAATGGCGTCACGACTGCAGCAAGAGGGACCCTGCCTTTTTTGTTCCCTGGTATACTTGGGATACGTGTTGCTTTCCAAACAATTAAGAGCTGCTTTATTAGCAGTGATAACCCCCTTCCGTTACTCGCATGGCCATCGGGACAAAATGCGTCATGTTACCCCTCGAAATGCAGCAACTACGCTTTTGTGCACATAGCTGGCCCAAGTCACATTATAGGGGATAAGTCATCATGTAAGTCGCAAGCATTTGTCTCATTGACTGCAAATAAGTGACCCTGATGCAAATAATTTCCGAGGATCTAACCCCTCCAAAAACTCCCACCGTGTCCCCTACTCAGCCCGGTAGTCTCCCGCAAAAATAGGAACTCTCATGGTAAGAAGTCTTGTGTAGTCCTCCATTTCGTAGAGTTACATGTTTCCGATACCCTTATTCCCTTTTTTGTCTTTGTGTGCTGCCACGCATCTCGAAAACCTTTTTTATTTTATTTTAAATAAACTCGGTTCGTTTTAAGAGGAGGGAGCAGATCGGCCACGACCGGCACCACCACGGCTAGTATTTCCCACGTCAGTACACTATTTTTGATGGAAATCGACTCCCCCCTTTCCCCACCCATCTCCATCATCGCCGCGGGAAGTCTCATTCTCGATGGGGTAGAGGTAGGAACTCACAATTGAGGAGCGAATTCACCAGGAGCACCGCCCTCCTTGCCCTCGCCAGCATCACGTCGTCGGTATCCACCCTCACGGTCACCACGGTCGCCGCCACGGCCACGGCCGAATGGTCGTCGCTGGCGCTCTTCCTCACCGAGCATGCCGCGGGGAGGGGCGTGCGATCGCTGCTGCTTGATGTGGGTGGCAGGAACGATCTCGGCGGGCAGGTGAAGCCATTCGCGCAGGTAGTCGAGGCCCTCGGGGGTCAAGGTGTAGTAGTAGTACTGCCAAGAGAACTGGGTCTTGACATAGCCGCGGGAGTTGAGGGACTGGCAAGCCTTGATGACGAACAGGTTCTTGGTGTCGATGTCGGGGTGCTTGGGAAGGTTGAAGTCCTTCTGGGCCACGAGGACACCCTCGCGAAAGAGGTACTGGTCATCGGATTTTCTTGTCAGTTACACATGCAATCTCTTTGGGCGCCTGCGTAGGTTTCGCTGGTTTCTGGCAGTCTGTCGGTTAATTTACCTCGTGGATCTTCTTGCGGTCGGCCTTGGGAATCAACATCGTGGCGGTTTCGTGGTGAGGTCGATGTTGAAGAAGCGCAGAATTTCGGTGTGATGATGCCTGGGCTCAAAATGGATAACTTTTGTGGGCGTAAACCCTACGAGAAATTCGAACCTAGCGAGTGGGGTGGCTTGCGACTTGTGTGCTGTGGCGGCATCACGTGAGATAAGATATGGCTCTTCGAGCTGTGGCTTGTGAGTTTAAACCTTGGCCACTCCAACATAAGAAGAAGGCCGTGTCCGTCAACCAGAGACGCCAAACCATCCGTTCTTTCCCCCATTGCAAAAGTCCATTCCTCAAGAAATTTTCAATTCGAGAGACGATTTTCACATCAAATTGCAATGGCTCCTCAAAATCTCAATGTCCTTATAACCACCTTTGGTGGTCTTGGGCTTCCATCTACTCTGGTGGTTCCGGTCCCACCTTCGACAACAATTACCGAACTCCGCGAGGAAATCTATGAGCGCCTCCCAACGACCGACTCCAGACTCATCATCACAACCATCTCAAATAGACAACTTCCAGAAGCCTCCCAGGCGCCCATCTCTGCATATCTATCCAGCAGCCAGGACGAGTTTCTGTCCTTGCGACTGGCTGTTCCGTTATGCGGTGGCAAGGGTGGTTTCGGCTCTCAGCTACGTGCTGCCGGCGGGCGCATGTCATCTCGAAAGAAGAAGAACCAAGAGGACCACGGATCCAGCCGCAACCTTGACGGCCGCAGACTTCGCACAGTAAATGAAGCAAAGGCTCTCGCAGAATACCTCGCCATCAAACCTGATATGGATCGCCAGGAAAAAGAGAAGCGAAAGGAGCGCTGGGAACAAATCGTCCAGATGTCTGAAGAGAAACAACATCAAATCAGAAATGGCGGCCAAGGCCGACTCGAGGGAAAGTGGGTTGAAGACAAGGAGGAGAGCAGCGAGAAGACACGCGACGCAGTTCTTGCCGCCATGAAGAGCGGTAGCTACAGAGACAACCTTCTCAGCACCTCGCATGGCTCGGCGTCAAGTGAGCAACCGGAGGCGCTATCAAACTCTGAAGACGACGCAAAGTCAAACTCAAAAGAGTCGTCTCCATCCGACGAGACAGATGAGCCAGCAAAGACGCCGGCTCGAACCTTCTTTGGTTTTGACGAGGACGATGAATTTATGAGCTCATCCGACGAGGAAGCTGGAAGCAAGGAATAATGATGGACATGATAATCATGACAAGGAATTTTAAAAAAAGGGTATCTGGCAATGTACTTTTATTATTATGGGGACTCAAGGCGTTTTCACCTCCGAAATCAGGCGGGGGGCATTTGACATCTTCTAAGGGCGACATTCACAAAGTCAAAATTTGACTCAATACAAAGTCTTTAACGTCACAATCATCACTTCGTAATACATCACACGTGTCCAAGAAGGCTGTTTCTCGATTGACGTCACCGTAATCACGGCTGTAGAACCGAGTTTTCCGAGTAATACACTCTCCATCCTCTATCAACACCAATTATCTTTTACACCGCCACTGATAAAAATTTACGCGTCCAGCTTGACAGGGAAGTTGGAAGCCTCTGTGGACAATTCCATTAGTCTCGTGGGAACATTAGAATGGTTATACCAACACTTACCTCGCTGCTCATCCCATCGCTGATACCATCCAGAGGGGCACAAGCTTCGGTAAGCCAGCCAAAACTACCGCATAATTAGTCAACTCCGCGCCCTGTAATTCGCAACCACTCTCAAATCTACTGTCGTACCTGACGGCAAGGAGCAAAGTCCTCTCCCTTGGCAATGATGCACTTGTGGTAGTCGACGTAGTTCTGCCAGCAGTGCTTGGTCTGGTTCACGTTAGGAAAGCGAGCGTCGGTGCCTATGGGGAAAGGTCGTGTCAGTATTCGGACCCAGAATTTGACGCAATCGAACTGTTCGCCAAGTCGCGCACGAGGATTTCGTTGGGTTGGAGCTTACCGGCTGCGGAATTGTTAGCCTCGGGTCAGGATCAGACCATAATTTTTAGGGGAGGGATTATCGGCACATACTAGTGACGAACTTGAAGGGCTTGGTGACAAGCTCCTGACCATCTTCTTCAGCCATGATGACTTGTTTCGATTGACGATTCCAAGGACTGGGCAAGTTTGACGCGGGGGTGGGCAATTGAACTCGAGCAATTGGTGGTGAGGTTGATGCGGTTGACGTTCCCGGTTTGGAATCAGATGTTCCGGTATTGGTGGCTCAATTTGTGCCTCAGGCTCGCCAACCAATGGGGTAAGGCAACCACAACCGACCAGTGGGCCGATGGGCAATTGCAACACGAGATGCTCGGCAACCTCTGAAGCACCACCAGAAGAACGACGATTTTGTCAATTGCTTCACGCCACGTCCGCTTCTATACAGACCAATCTCCTCTCTTAAGATGCGTACCACCGCCGCGCTCCGAATGTTCCGGCCCACGGCCCGCATGATGCGACCGGTTCCCGTGAGTCCGTTGTGAATGAGCACTGCCTGAGACGGAGCTAACGATGACGATTTTACAGAAGGAAGACCAGGCCGGTACGTGCTGAACGACTCCGTCCTAGCTGACCTGGAAGCTCTTGGAGCGAATCTTGGTCGTGATTTTCCGCAGCATGCTAACTGATTTCAAGGCCACACCGTCTCCCAACGGCTGCGCAAGCTCAAGCAGATTCCTGCTGAGTTATTTCCTCTCGGTACGTACACACCTCGGTCGGCAAATACCTACGTAGCTTGTCAATCTAATCCATGACCTTAGCCGCCGTCGTTGGCTTCGCCATCTTTGCTGCCGGTTACTCGAGCGTTCGCAAATTCATGGTCGATAAGAACCTCCGACTCGCCAGACAGGGACCTGGAGGCCGTGCTGTTGACCACCAAGATGATCACCACTAAGTGTTTGCCGGGCAAACAGGGCCGGAGGATTTCATTTTGTTCGCGGATGGCAAAACATTTGTACATGTCAATATAGGAAAAAAGCTCTTTAATTGAGACCTGGCTTGAAAGCTCTTCATTTTGTTCACTTTGTGTCTCCCTGTTGTTCAGAATAGAGTTATCGATTTTCTCGAGATACATTCATCCTTTCCGTTAAACACCATCGCTATGCAATTATCCTCCTTTTAATAAAACAATGTGACAACAAGAATAGCCGTGTTAAATTCTCATGCTGGTTTCGGCCCAGCTACATCCAAACCTTCCAAACCTTGCATAGGATCGGCTGCAGAACTGCTGGCGGCTGGTTCATCACTTCCCAAGGCTCCGTTTTGTTCTTCCGCTGCATGCTCCGCCAGCCAACCTTCCTATTCGCCAAAGTGTTAACATGGTTTTCTTTTCTGTGGACAGGACCTGGGGCTGGTGACGAACCTGTTCCCAGACTGCTTTTCTGCTGCCTAAGCCCTCATCCGCGCTCTTGGGGGCCTTTGCTTGGGATACTTTCAAGACTTTGCCAAAGAATTCTGACTGGTCCATATTATCAATGGCTTCTTTGGCATCTTCTGGGTCCTCAAATTCAACGTATGCAAAGCCACGGTGAGAATCCGTTGATTTCCGTGAGTCGGGCTTCGGTAGCTGCACTTCAACGATCTCTCCAAATGGAATGAAGGCATCGAGTAAGTGAGTTGTGGTCACGACAGATGACAGACCGCCCACAAACACCGTGGCTTTCCAGCGAGCAGCCTCCGACATGTTGACACGGTGTCGGAACAGCACAATATGGCTTAGGCTCTTTTCTTTTCAAGCTGTCTTTTTGAAATCCGTAGCCTGATGAAGTACCTTTGATGCTCAAGCTCTTATTGGCCTACTGCTAACTGAGGCTGTCCTGCACAGCAAAAACTACATCCAAAATATCACGTGACTTTCCACACTATCCCTGGTATCCAAGACGTCCCATTCCAGGGAGGCACGGACGTGTCCCTCGTCGGGAGCTCAGGAGGGTCCCATATAATCATCGAGCCTGCAATCTGGCATCATATTCGCCGACTTACATGCCATTGCGCCAACCTCCCAATTCCTCATTCTGGTATTTATCTCCTGCAACAGGTTTCCTGGCCCTGTTTGTCTAACTCGAAACTCATAGGCTTGGTATTTAGGCTATAGGAAGCTGAAATTCGATTCGCATCGCCGGGCCTTGTCTTGGCTCTCTTTGGTCGTGTTTATCCCCCGCCACCATGGTGCGCCTTCGAGAAGTGCCACGAACGGCTACTTTTGCCTGGTCTCCGGGTTCAGGAAAGCCTCTCCTGGTAACTGGTACTCGTGCCGGTGCTGTAGACGCCGATTTCTCAGATGAAAGCAAACTAGAGCTATGGGATCTTTCCCTGGACGATCAGCTGCAAGGGTTGGAGCTCCAGCCATTAGCCAGCATCACCACCGAGTCTAGGTCCGACGCGATGATTTCAACAGACTGATGTGCTGAATTGACTAACACATGTGCTAGATTTTATGATATTGCTTGGGGACCTGCCGATTCCGACCATCCAAAGGGTATCATTGCCGGCGCACTCGAGAATGGTTCCCTTGAGCTTTGGGACGCCGCGAAGCTTGAGGCTGGTGCTCCTGATGCGCTCATCTCACAGACCAGCAAGCACACTGGTGCTATCAAGGCACTGCAGTTTAATCCTTTAAAACCACACATTCTGGCTACCGGCGGAGCCAAGGGCGAGCTGTACATATTCGATGTCAACGACATCGAGAACCCCTTCAGACTGGGCAACGTTGCCGCCCGATCTGACGATATTGAATGCTTGGCTTGGAACCGAAAAGTGTCACACATCTTGGCCACTGGCGGGGCCGGAGGCTTTGTAACTGTATGGGATCTAAAGACGAGAAAGGCTTCACTCACTCTCAACAACAACCGAAAGGCCGTAAGCGCCATTGCTTGGGATCCAAACAACTCCACCAAGCTCCTGACAGCCACCCCCGATGACAATACGCCAGTCTTACTGTTGTGGGACTTGCGCAACTCCAATGCCCCCGAGAGGACTCTTCAGGGCCACGAACAGGGCATTCTGTCACTTGCGTGGTGCAGCCAAGACAGCGACTTGCTTCTGTCTTCGGGCAAAGATAACCGCACGCTAGTCTGGAACCCTCAAACAGGCGAGAAGTACGGCGAGCTGCCCGAGATGACAAACTGGACTTTCCAGACTCGGTTCAATCCTCACAACCCCAACCTGTCTGCTACGGCCAGCTTCGACGGCAAGATCACTATCCAGACCCTGCAGAACACCAACCCAGACACGTCCCAGACCCCTGCGGAGAAGAACTTGGATGGCGAAGAATTCTTCCGAGCCGCCCAGACGCAGCCACAGGGCGCATCTTGGTCTCTTAATAAGGCGCCCAACTGGTTCGAACGCCCTGTTGGTGCTACGTTTGCGTTTGGCGGAAAGATTGTGATCTTCAAGGCCAACCCATCGCAGCCGGGACAGAAGCGTTCCTCGAAGATTGCCATTGCCCAGTTCTCTGCCGATGCTCATGTTTCTGAAGCGAGCGCAAAGTTCCAGACTGCACTCGAGTCCGGCAATGTTGCTGCTATTTGCGAAGAGCGTGCTTCGCAGGCTCACACCGAGGAAGAGAAGGCTGACTGGAAAGTAATCGAGACACTCGCTGTAGACAACCCCCGAGGACAGATTGTTGAATATCTCGGTCTCAAAGAGGATGAGCTTATCAATGGTGAATCAAAGGCCGACGATGACGCCGACGCCGACGCTGATGAGAAAAAGTCTGATTCCAAGGCTGATGGAGAGGGCGAGCAGAAGAGCAAGAAAGTTTCCGATTTCTTTGGCGGAGATGAGGGTGATGATTTCCTGTCAAGTGTTGCGGCTACCAAAGGGACCAAGACTGACAATCCGTTCCACTTGTTCTCTGATGGGGACACTTCCGTTGAAAAGGATATCACCAAAGCGTTAATGTTGGGTGACTTTGCCAAAGCCACTGACATCTGTCTTAAGGAGCAGCGAATTGCAGACGCTTTCTTGATTGCCAACTGCGGTGGCCAGGAGCTCGTCGACAAGGTCCAGTCCGCTTACCTTTCCAAGAAGAGCGGCATGCCCAGCTACATGCGTCTATTAGGATCTGTGATTGCGAAGAATCTCTGGGATGTAGTTTATAACGCCGATCTTGAGAACTGGAAAGAAACCATGGCGATTATCTGCACCTTTTCAGATCCGACCGAGTTCCCTGACCTTTGCGAAGCTCTAGGCGAC